CCCCCCCCTCCCCAGGATTTGAGTAGAGAAGATAGAACTCAGTAACAAGAGCTGACCAAATGAGCATAGTGTTGGCCAAGTGTCAGCTGAGTGTTGGTAAAGTATTGGCCGAGTGTCGCCCGACTTGCGAGTTGGTCGATATGTCGACTGAGTTTCTGTCGACATACCTGCTGATACTTGGCCGATATGTCTTCCGATGCTCAGTCAATATGTTTTCCGATGCTTGGTCGACATATCGGCCAATTATATTGACTGATACTCGGCTGACAGATGCCATAAGTACACACGATCCAGAATTTCTACAGCTTCTTGTTTACTTTAGAAGTAGAAAGTATTTACATGTATTTCAAAGCACTTGTACAAGTAAAAACACAAAATCTTAGCTTTGCTGTAGATATTATGCACGTGAAGATGCGCAAAATGCCATGTGGTACATTAATGGCACAAGACTTGATGACCGCATTATACGTACAGATTGGGATGCTGGTTTTGTAGAGGGACGTCAGTTTGGACGAGGAAAGAGTGGAGGGCAGGTGAGAACTTCTAGGTCCTTTCTCACAAACCACTTGGGGCTATGCTAGGCTGACTGCTGCATCCTTAAGTTCCACAATGGCCTAGCAGCCATAGTTTCTCTTTCTTCCCAGGTACAATGTATATTAAGTGGATCCATCCAGGCAAACTTTTGGGGTAATACACCATCTTATTATTTGCATGCCGTCTGACAAGTTGCGGGAAAAAATAAAAAATATTATGCAGAACTCTTTCAGGGGAAATGTGGAATATGCGTCAATTTTGCAGAAAAGACACTGGATTATGCGGAAATTTCAACTGTTGACAAAATTGATAATAAAGCCTTTCTAATGTACTGAACAACAGTGAAACAAAAAGCACTTCAAATTCTTACCACAGTATAAGCCTTTAATAGACTACCTGTTGTATCCCACAAGAAAAATTATGGCAAAAGCCATGTAGTAAATCCTTTCATCGACCAAGCCTGTTCAGTCAAGATGCTGGATATTGGCCTTGTTCTTTTTTTTTAGAAGTTTTTGGACTCTGACTCCTTCTTGGTCCATTAACATGCAAAAAAAGAACTTTTCCAATATCCACTCATCTCGGTCAATAACCTATATGTAATGCTTGTTGGGAATACATGTATATGATAGTCTAGTATCAAATCTAAAGGAGTAGTGGCCCCATCAGGCCAGCACTTATCTCCCATCTCAGAAGGAAGAGGCAACAAGGACTATTTCTACTCCCCTCAGGATGGGATGCTAGTCCATCGCCCGGTTATCCCCCAGCATTATTTAAATTCACAGTTACCCTTGTACACGCCTGGATGAAGAGAGGCACTGTGGGAGTAATGACAGCTCAAAAATGCTGTGATGCACAGGACATGGGCCCACTAACAAATGGAGTTACTGCGTATCCTGAAATCGTTACATTTTAGGTGCGAGATGAGTATCGGAGTGATTACGACCCTGGCAGAGGAGGCTTTGGTAAGAAGGCCCAGCAATCCTCAGGAATTATAACTAGTCCCCCAGTCGCTTACTCAAAACGATGACTTGAAACACTGTTGTTTCAATGTAATCTGACGGTTAACGCAAGATCTGGATACCTGTGTTGTTCAAGCATGTGTAGGCAGGAATGGATTCTTGATGTTGCTCATGCTGTCTGCTTAAGATGTAATGATGTGGCCACTACAAGAATGACTATCAACATAAGAACTATCAGTATAAGATTCTAAGGGGAGATTATGTTGCATGCTTTGGTCAGACACAAGTTTTAACTGAACAGGTGTAGAATAGTGAAATTTAATACTTGCGAAGATCCCTTAAAGGGAACCCAGGCTTGTCGTGTTTACATCGATAATCGCTCACTAGCTTGGCAGACAGTGTCTCAGCTAAAGCTGGTTTTCATTTTGGGAAAATCACCCATGATGTTGGGTTAGGCTTTACATATTTGTTTCTTGATTGTCACAGACAATCCTGACTCCTAAAAATTTCCGAAATCATCTGGTATGTCGGGAATAGGCCAGGAGAGCTTACCATTACCAGCCAGAACCAGATGAAAATTAAATAGTATTTTCCAAAGTCGAAATATTATTTTCCAAAATCAACAAATGAACCAAAAGAGATGGGGGGCGCTTGGGTTGCTGTCTCAAAATGAGAGATGTTTGTATGGATTTTGAACCATGTTTCAAAGTCCATAGCTTGGCCTCTGTTCACATTAAAAGTATTGATCTTGGTCAAGTGACCAATCAGAATGTGATCTTTCATGTGGTGGTAGTGTCAAGTTTATCAATTTGTTAAAATCTGATACTCACCCCAGTTCCCTGCACAACTCCAAAATGGCCAATTGGGTACATCTGGGACAGTTGGGAAAAAGTCACAATCCCAACTCTCTGGTATTTTTTGTGACATGGAAACTAGGTTCTGGTGATAGTGGCCTCCGAGCCTGTCCATTAAATCACCATCCCTGTCTTAGACATAAATTATTGCTGGTTGTGTAGTTGATGTGTTATATTTCCACTTAAACTTGAAGGTTGTTTTTTAACATAATCATCATACCAAGCAAACCCACTCTATCAAACTCAGTGCAAGTAAGTGTGTGTGTCATAACCAAGTGATGCATGCTTATGGGGTGACCCAAGTCAACTTTGCTTCACCAGAGAGATTTTTTTTTTTTTTTGCATGACTGGATTAGTCATACTTTTACTTCTCAAACAATCAATTCATGCTTTGGGTAGCCTGTAGCACAGGTGTATTATTGGTGTGTGAGTGCGCAGTTTTCGTATTAGGCCACCATCTTGGATTTGGTATCTGTGGTTGCCCCAACCCTCTACCAGTCAAGCGTCCAATTTACAATCCAACATGGTGGCATTAAAAACCTGGTCTATCGAGCGTTCCATTCCAAATTAATACCTGCAGTGCAGGCTATGCTTTGGGCTGTGCATCATCAAGTTATGATGCATGTGGGAAGTTTAGAGATCACTCAAGAAGAAAAGAGTTGCTCTCAGCGGCACCTCAAACAACTGTTAGATTTCTTTCATGTTCTCCAAACTTCTCGCGTGCGTTATTACTCCATAAAGCATGCTGAAGCATCAATACATTGTTTAGTACGGCGTAATATTTTAATCAGGAATTGTTAAAGTCTCACAGCTGTAGTAACCACTTTAAAATAACCATTTTATGTATTAAGTTTTTTTTTCTACCATTTCTTTTCAATAAAATTTTGGCATTGCTAATGTTGGAATTTGGAGTAAACTTACTGTTAGTATAAGATTAAAAAATAGTTATCTTAGTTAATGACTAGATAAATAATAGCCTCCATGTGGTGTAAAAATATGCTTGGATATTTTGTTCGCAGACATTATTTGCACCAAGAACAAAGCTTGAGGAAAACTGTGAGCTTTGAGGAACAAATGATGTCCTAGTACAAATACCTGAAAAGTCAAATGGAGGCTATTGTATTTATAATCCTTGAAATATTTTTTGCAACACAGAGGATCTTTTGAAACTTGGGGAATATCACTCAGATATTCCCCGGGTGTAGCTGGAGCATATTCAGTCACAAGACACACTTAGGCCAAGCATGAGCAAGTACAAATGAAATGTTTGACGGATTATAAAATTAAATATTATAGTACAGTAACTTCATGCTCACAGTTATTGCTGTGGTAATTTATTTTTCATGATTTATTTACAAAGTCATCACAAATTTCATTTTTAACAATATTTTCTGCAGGCAGTTTAGTGTCTCCAACATCAAAGAAGTTCCTCTTCACAATGTGCCGCAAACACTGAAGAATCACATTTCTTTCATGACGGATTTCTGGGGCCAAAAGCTGTGTTGAAAAAAGTGAAAATCAGTTGATTAAACTAAATCTTTGCCAGTTTCTTCACCCCATTGATTGTTGCACAGTGGAACATCCACTAACAGCCACCTCCCTATAATGACCATTTTTTTTCATCCTGGCAGACAGCCCATACATTCGCTCTTATTTTAACCACCACCTCTCCACAATGGTAACAGTTACTAATGCATGTCTCAAACTACCAATTGAAAATAACCTCTCCACAACAGCCAGTTGAGAATTTGCAGTTACATCAAGAGAATAGTCCCCTAGTTGATCATTGTTTTATTCTCATTACCTGTTTGCTTCACAAGTAGGTACTAATGTTGCAATAAGGAAGTGGATAGAGGCCATTTTTGCAAATTATTTTATGGGTTTACACTCCACAGGTATAAAATTTTTATTGAAAAGAAATTATCAGAAACTATGTTTCTAGTGCATGGTTTTTAAACAGCTTGATCACATGAATTACAGTTGAAACTCTCTACAGCTGCCATCCTGTGGCTGAATTACATAATTTGTAATCAGCCTCAAGGAAGCTGAGTTGAGTTAAGTGTATGAGATTGCAGCATTTGCATAAGTATGTAAAGGCTGGTTTTCACTAGTGACAGGGTTGTAGTCAGAGTCGTAAGAGAGCTTACAACCTTGTGAAAATCAAAAATTTGACTAGTAATCGGAGTCGTAAGCTTGACGGAATGTCCAAATTGGAGTCAGAAGAATCAGCACATTTCCATTTCTTCCAATTCTGTTTACCACTCCATTGTCTATGATCCAGTGAAAACAAGATTGTCGGAGTCAGAAGCAGAAGCACCAACCAATCACAAGGCCCGGAATCAAGATGGTGATTGGTTTATTCCGCTTCTGCTTCTGACTCCAACAATTAGTTTTCCCTAGATCAAAAGTGACAGAGTCATAATCACAAAGGGTGTTCTGCTTCCGACTCCATCAGTTTGATTTTGACTAGATTGTATCATTCTATGCTTCTGATTACGACTCTGACTACAACACTGTTGCTGGGGAAAACCAGCCTTTAAAATTCTTCTAAGAAAGTATAGAATAATACATTAGCTATAGGTTTTAATTACCTTTTCTAAGAGAGTTGATTTCCTTATTCCCATGGATTTAGAGTTTGCCTGAAAGACATAACTGCAGCTATTTTTATGTGCAAACTTTGTAACTAAATACACTTAAGGCAGCTGTTTGCAGTGTATTGACTTGCATATCTTTGCCAGCTATGGGTATTTTACGAACTCACACCAAGATCAACTCCCAGTTGGCTTGATAGTTTCGGTTGAGCACCACCAAACTTGCACCATTATGCATTTGAATCTCATTCAAGTCTGTTTTGGCAATGTCGCCTATTAAGTTGTGCATATAACTGTGATTTTTCTGCTACCAATTTTTCTCCAGCAGATAAAAATATGCATTTGACGTAATTTCACTTGCATTAAACCTATTTGACAAACCTGTCTCAAAAAAGTCCTTTTTAAAGTCCTTTAACAAAATAAACAAGGATTCACATCTAACACAAAACCATTATTTACATCACTTAAAATGGAGTAAGTCTGGAGTATTTTTGAGTACCTTTAAGGAACCGTGGTGGTTCTGCCCGTAAGCCAGTTCGCCCAAACTGTGAGTTGGTTTGCCTGGACTGTTAGCTCAAGGTCAACAGATTAAAGAATGAGAAACAAACATGTTTTGTGTAGTTTTGTTTCATAACACCCACAATGTTGTCTTTTTCATTCATTTTGTTGAAAAAAGATTTAACACATCCTTCTTTGAACTTTCAGTNATTCTGCTTCTGCTTCTGACTCCAACAATCTAGTTTTCACTAGATCAAAAACAACAGAGTCATAAGCACAATGGGTATTCTGCCTCTGACTCAATCGGTTTGATTTTGACAAGATCACATCACTCTATGCTTCTGATTACGACTCTGACTACGACACTGTTGCTAGGGAAAACCAGCCTTTAGAATTCTTCTAAGAAAGTATAAATACATTAGCTATAGGTTTAAATTACCTTTTCTAAGAGAGTTGATTTCCTTATTCCCATGGATTTAGAGTTTGCCTGAAAGACATAACTGCAGCTATTTTTATGTGCAAACTTTGTAACTAAATACACTTAAGGCAGCTGTTTGTAGTGTATTCACTTGCATATCTTTGCCAGCTATGGGTATTTTACGATCTCACACCAAGATCAACGCCCAGTTGGCTTGATAGTTCGGTTGAGCACTCCACCAAACATGCACCATTTTGTGTTTGAATCTCATTATGTCTGTTTTGGCAGTGTTGCCTATTAAGTTGTGCATATAACTGTGATTTTTCTGTTACAAATTTTTCTCCAGCAGTTAAAAATATGCATTTCATGTAATTTCACTTGCATTAAACCTATTTGACAAACCTGTCTTAAAAAAGTCCTTTTTAAAGTCCTTTAAGAAATAAACATTAAGGATTCACATCTAACACAAAACCATTATTTAAATCACTTAAAATGGAGTAAGTCTGAAGTATTTTTTGAGTGCCTTTAAGGAACTGTGGTGGTTCTGCCCGAAAGCCAGTTCGCCCAAACTGTGAGTCAGTGTGCCTGGACTGTTAGCTCAAGGTCAACGGATTAAAGAATGAGAAACAAACATGTTTTGTGTAGTTTTGTTTCATAACACCCACAATGTTGTCTTTTTCATTCATTTTGTTGAAAAAAGATTTAACACATCCTTCTTTGAACTTTCAGTCTGGGCAAACAGACTAAAAGTTCGGGCGAACTGGCTGTCAGGTAAAACAACTGGTTTCCCCTTTAACTTGGACTATCACCAAGATCATATTTAAGTTAACATTGACAACGCAAAGACTTGATAACAAAATGAAATTTCATTCACCTTTGTGATACATTTCTTTGATCTCCTGCGTGTTCTCTTTGTTCTGCCGTGTGCACCTTGTTTCACGTCATGTCGTGAATGAGGTGTACTGCTCTCAGCTTTTCCAACTTCAGGCTCATTTGTCGAATTTTTGTCGAGTTTCTCCTTCAGGGAACAATCTTTGTGTTTGTTGTTGTTAATTTCTGTTGGTTGAACATTTATTTTAACTTAAAAAACTTCATATTGCCATTTTCCATAGCTAATCTTGCCCAAGATAGGAAAACAATAAGTAGAGATGAGATCAGAAGCAAGAAATGGTGGGAGGACAGACTTCAAAACTTGTTGGAATCACAGCTCAAGGAAAGACTTTGAGTTAATTGACACACCTTTCATTTCATTCTTGGAAAATCGCTTTCCGTTTAGAGATGAATTATCCATCTTAGACAAATTATTCATCTTGAAGGCATGCTGACAGATGTATCAGCCACAGAGAAATTTTGCTCTATAATTTGTCTTCCCACTGAAAGACAAATTATCCATTTCAGACAAAGAATAATATTCATCTATATATGATGGATAATTCACCTCTGGTATAAATTTGGCCAATGGCATGGACAAAAGAAGGCAAGAGAGAGACCTTCCATTGGATTGGAAAAAATAAATTAGAATTTTAACCCTTAAGTAGATCATATTTGAATATACCTGCTGGTGCTTGGTCATCCTCAGATTCGCTAGCATATGCTGAACAGAGTGAACCTAATCCAGAGAATCCAGACATTGCAGTGGAAGGAACTGCTTCTGATGTTGGGCTGGGTAATATCTTTGGGGCAGGTAACCTCTCTTTAATTTCACTCCCTGGAATCACAAAAATAGATAGTTTATAAACCTTACAAACAAGAAAAAATGATCATGTGGTACATTTAAAAACAATAATTCATTCAGGAACAAAGCAACAAAAAAACTGAGTGAAGTGAAGTGAAGTGAAAGACTTTATTTAATGAGGGTGAC